TATTGATGAAAAATAAAATGCAGACAAAATACAAATGAACTAAATTTGTATTATAAATACTATCCAATAAAATAAATAATTAAAGCCATAATCATAAATACTGGTAATAGTGTAATAAAGTTTTTTTAAATATGAATATTAAGATCTCATGAACTATTGGACAGTTATTATTGAATGCCTTATTTTTATTAGAAACCAAATAAAGTTTGTTTTTATTTTAGTCGCAAATTTCGCTATATTTTTGCGAAATTTATGTCTTAATATATTTATCACTTATGTTTTTGTGAGATAATTCTGAAGGAAATATATAAATACTATTCACAGCCTCACAGCAATCACAAGAGACCCGGGATATTGAATCCCAGGCCCTTCACATGCATCTCATTTGACTATAAAATATATACACACCGTGTACTGTATATACCTGTTAAACCTTTTCCTCTATTAAACTAAATGTTTGTTAATAAATAAAATAAAAATAAAAAGTAATGACATTTGCAAAATGTTTTAGAGCCATATGTCTGAACACATATTGATAATGAAGACAATTTGGAAAATGTAATAAATCTTATGCCTTGAATTACAAATAGTTAATTAACTTTTCGAGATATTTATTGATAGCATTTCTATAATAATGTTAATAAAGTTAATAATTTTCCCTATTATTAAAGCGCTATTGAGGGGAGAAATAGCTTTTTTAGGAAATTATTGGGTTTGGGAACTGATTTATATACCAATAATTTACACTGTATCGTTTCAATGCTAACCAAATAAGTAACTATCGGTGCGCTCCGACTATTATTAACTGATGAATAAATATCAGACAAAAAATCTGTTTCTTAACTAAAAGGCATGAATTCTGCAATAATTAAAACTAATAAATATATTGCGAAAAAACTTTGTTCTCAAATGGTATATAAGAATAAGAAATATAAGGAGAGAGAAAAAACTCGGTTTGCAAATGATATCTTATAAATGATAAGTAGTGTTAAATTAATTTGTATTCAAAGTGTTATCAGATTTTGTCAAAAGAGAAAAGAGAGGGAAAATCGATTAGGATTTTGGTATTCGGGATAAGAAAAAATATCTTAATCACAAAAAATCTCTTATCTGTTTGGAAATTGTAATATTAATATATGTATTTTATAGAGATATTACACATTTGAAAAACTAAAATAAATATTAAGTATTTTGTTTGGTGTCAAATTTGAAACCATTTAAATACGGTTTAGGAGATAAGTTATAACTTATATCATATTATAAGTTTATAAATTATATAAATACTATAGAACAGTATATACTATATTTGATTTAAATTTATTGCTAATTATTTTGTCTGTTAAATAGTGGTAGTTTTGTTTGTCAACTTTTATTGTTTATAATATAAACTTTATATTATTGAATGGATTTTTCTCACAATTTCTTATACCAAACGTATAGAGAGATAACATTTAAATAAACTTCAATCATATATTTCAGTCATTTTTGCTTATATTTAATTTATTTTGAATTAATGATGTATTTTATTCACTAGTTTATGGAAAACACATATGAAATTGACTTATCATATGATGTATGGCTTTCCAACGCAAATCTTATTGCAGATAAAAACTTATTAATAATATGTTATATGTTTTATAGAAATAAATTTTTGATTTTACATTTTCATACGAAATTGTAATTTATTGATCGAAATCTAAATTTTTCATTAATTAAACAGTTATACAGAAGTACTGTTTGGAAAAATATATGCAAAAATAATTTTATATTTTACTTGTTTCTCGTTTCCCAAAAACTGTTTGATTTAATAATTTTTTGAGTTTGAATTTGTTTTTATGAATTTTTGATTTTATGAATTCATTATAAAGAAAAGTTTTAAATGTTTCCATAATTTTATTTATTTATTCCCCAAAAAATTATTATACATTTGCGTTCAAAACGATGTGAAAATATGTTTCAAAAATATACATCCAATTTAATACACACATACTGTATATAACTTATAATGTACGCGACAAACATGTCCTCAAAATTATTCAATCAATTCATTTAATCATTACTAATCAAAAAACATTTAAGTCATAACATTCGCGCATTAAATGATTAAATGAAAAATTCATATTTAATCTCATTTTATAGTCACAGAAATCTTTCAAAACGACTCGCGAAACATAATTTTTCAAAATAAAAAAAACTTATTTTACGACAAAAAATAGTTTTTCAAATATTTCTCTCTCTCTCTCTCTCTCTCTCTCTCTCTCTCTCTCGTCATCTCTGAATCAATACTATATTAATATACTAATAGACAGTATTCACAGCCAAACACGACATGAAGACCTGGTTTATCGGTAATTCCTATCAATATATTCCTCCGCAATGTTTAGTATATCAATGCATTTGACATCAAATTTATGATAATTTATGTATTGATTATAAAAAATTTATTTTGGGGATTAATTCATAAAAATAATAATTAAATACTCGCGAAGAGAGAGAGAGAGAGAGAGAGAGAGAGAGAGAGAGACGAATATCAAAATTATATCAAAAAATTATTTTATAAAATCTTTTTATTTAAAAAATATGAGAAATAATTTGAAAGAGGAGTGAAAAAATGGTTTTAAGAGAAATATTATACGACATAAGAAATAAAATGAAGCAAAACTTGCGATAAAATCCTAAACCAAAAGATTAAATCACATTAATTCGCTGTTATTTCTTGATTTTATTTGAAAAATACAAATAAAAAAGTCTTTTTTACACTTAATTTTTAAGTCCAAAAATTTCAATCATATTTTGCATGCGTTTCACACCAAAACGTATAATAAAATTATTTAACAAATAAATAAAATCTAATTATAAATTAGCCATACATTTAGACTCCATACACATCGGGAGGGCTGAGCGAGGGGAACGGCACCAGAATTAAAATATATTATACATATGGGAAAGGCTTATAATTTACATAAACGTAACACTAATTGCTTTAAAAAACTAAAAAACGAGTAAAAAGTTATTAATTTCATCCGTGGCTTAGGAAATAAATCTCGTATACGAAAAAAGTTTGAATACTACACCAATTCATGATATACTCCACGGCTAAGGGATTCATAAAAAATATAAATTAAATTCAAATCTATTTAATGGACTTTAAATTTTTGATTAAAAACCAATTTTTGTCATAAGTATTGCTAAAACTTTTAGATAAAGCCTTAAATATGCGACAAATTGTATGCGTTTGTAGTGTTGAGAGACATCTGGCGGTCATTATGTGAACGCATTTGCAGTGAAAACACAAACAATTGATTGACTTTTGGAGACATTTTTGTCGACAAGTTTTGATTGAATTAAAAGTTTTTGCATTTATTTTATCGTTTCTTTGTCCCGAAGATGTGAATCAAATGCAGTGATCGATGATTTGCCACAAAATATGCGTTTTGATCGCCAATTGAGTCGCGGATCAAGTGCTTGATATCATGTCCGACAATACCTATGATGGCAGTGGCAGTGATGGCCAACCACTCGAAGACTTTCGGTATTTGTATTAAGATCTGGTGTTTGTCACGAATGGTGCGGTGATTGTCTTGATGTCTATGTGCAGAGTGTCGGCGCCGAAGAAGAGTAGAGGCGATGACCTGAAGAGGAGAGCGCACAACGGCATCGAGAAGAGGCGTAAAGACAAAATCAATTACTGGATCTATAAGTTGGCGGATGTGT